ACCAACATGTATGCAACTCAATGTATGTTAATAATTCCTTTATGCCAAATAATGTTTTATAAAAGTGTGTGGCTATGAAAATAGCCGTTTTTTTTACCATTGGCAAAAGAAGCTGACTTTTTTTGCACTGTTTTTTTTTAGTATTTTGCATTTTTTTATTAAAATTTTTTTTTTTTTTAATATATTTTATATTTATTTTAAAGTTAATCTACGATTATAAGTGGCAAACTTATCAATGACTTTATTGATATCTATAACTATTTCTAAATGAATATTCATTAATGCTAAACAATTTAGACGGTCCTGAACCATGGTGCTTCGCATATAATTTTTTAGGCGCCAAAGTGAAGAAAATGTCCGCTCACACTCACATGAAGTTAATGGAAAGGTAGCAAGTAACTTAAGACAAACTTTTATGTTTTCAAAACCAGGAAAATTTATCGCTTTTAACGTCTCGGAAATATTAGAAGGGACATCTCCTTCAAAATTTAACCAGAAGGCTTCCCATAAATCAAGCTCACCAGACAAAGCAAGCGGATTCGGTAAGTCTGTTGCGTAAAAGTCACTGAAAGATATGATGGAGTCTTTCCAACTGGTGTCATGAGAACATTGCACTACTGAAATCATTTTTGTAGGAACTAGCACAAGTGCTTTATAACATTTTAAGGTAGTATCATCAAACCTTGTGTCTAGTTCAACACTTAGATGGTCTAATAAAGGAATCGTGATAACTAACTTAAAATAATCAGAAATAGATTCAGAAGGAGTATTATCTCTGTTTTTGGAAATAAATGAAGTTCTTGGCTTTGCTTCAGCTACATTAATACTTTGTGCAATTTTTAAAGCCTGTTCATAGCACATTTTATGGTGTTGATCAACAATCTTTCTAAGTGAAATCACAACATCTTTTATCGCCCGAATAAGATTCAAACCATCATAAATATCATTACTCTTTGACTGCAACATTCGCGTTATGGGAAGAGTTAAGTCAAACACATTTCTTGTTATGCACATAGCAACAATAAAATCAAAACCTGTAATTAGTTTCAGAAGGGATGATGCACTAGAAGCTGTTGAATGATTAAAACTCTTATTGGCATTTAAAGACATTTCTTCAAGACAAGAGGCCAAAGGAATAAAAAGTTCTTGAAAAGTATCTAAACCATTTACTTTTTCCACCCAACGTGTTCTGCAAACATCTTTTAATTTTTTTTTAACAGCTATTGGAACAGTACATTCAATGTGTTCCTCTAACTTTTGTTGTCTGGTAGGTGAAAGATTGAAAAAATATGATACCTCTTTAACATATGCCAGAAGATTCTTGACATATTGCACATTGCACGAGCCACAAATAACTAAATTAAGCCTATGGCTATAGCAATGAACAAATGTAGCTTTTTCATTTAGAATTAAAATACGAGAGGACAATCCTTTGGTGTGACCAACCATTGCTCCAGCACCATCATATGACTGTCCTCTGCAATTCATGATATCTAAAGAAAAATCTGAAATACTTTTTAACAAAATATCAAATAATCCTTGACCAGTAACACCATTTGTGCAATGTAAAAAACTGATAAATTCTTCTCTTATATTAAACTTTGAATCAACAAACCGTATAACTAATGATAGCTGTTCTTTGTTTGAACTGTCAGAAGCTTCATCAGCAATAATAGAAAAATAATTAGAATTTTTAATTTCTCCTATTATTGTGTCAGTAATAACTTCTCCATAACACCTTATTAACTGATTTTGTGATGTCTTAGATATGTAAGAAGCATTTTGTTGATGATATTTAAGATGATCTTCAAGAACTTTATCACCAGCTTTAACACGAAAATGTAATAATTCAACAAAATTTTCAACAGTATGATTAAAAGACTCACTATTTTCAGGATGAAACTCTGAATCGTCTCTATGGCCTCGTAAAGAAAGACCAAGACGTCCACAGAGAATAATTGTTTCAATAATTGGTTGTAATAACTGTCGGTTTTTAGAAACCTGTGATTGAACTATTTTTTGAGATGTAATATCTATTGATTCTGTTTTAGAAGACCAAATCGACGACAATGAAAATAAAACTTCAGCAGTTTTTACATGTAAGCCTTTATTTCTGCAGACAGACTTATTATTGTTTTTGCCAAATGCATGTTTCTGAAAGTAACGAGAAGCATCATTCCAGCGATCAAAAGGCTTACAAAATAATCTTTCGACTAAACTACATTCAGATGGAAAATTACACCCAAAAAGTACACATGGCAAACAAAAGGCTCCATCGAATATTTTCGAATATGTAAGCCATGGAAATTTTTCTATCCACATAAATTGAAAACTTCGCCCATTAAGATTTTTAGGAAAAGAAAATGTTTTACAAGGTACAAAAACATCTTTAACTAAATGTTGAAGTTCAGAATTACTCAAGGTTTTTGCAATACTTGAATAACTAGTATAGTTAGAAACCAAATAACCAATATCATAATTATTGGAAGGTAAAGAAAATGATTCGCAACATGTAATTTTACTAAAATTTGATAATGATAATGGGGGTTGACTAGAGACTTCCATTGGTTTACTTTTTAAATTGTCCAACGAATAGTTATTATCTTGATGTTTGGTCTCGAAATAAAATTTTATTTTAGTCTGCGACATTTTGCAGCTTTTGTTTAAATTTTTTCGTTTTAAGTTTTCTTTTATTATCACAGGGGTATAATGGTTGTGTTGAAAAGGAGCGGAAAAATCATTTAGTACACCTTCATAACAAAAAAGGAGATGTAAAGACTCAATAGTGTTTAAGGAAGTTATACGAGGTAAAATAGTTAAGCTGAATAAAATTTTATACTTCTGTAGACCAAAATCTGGATACAAACATTCTATTTTCTTGTTGCAAACACTTGATAATGCAAGAATACAAAGGAAAGAAGACCAGTTTTCATTGTTACAATTGTTAATAGCTTCTTCTTGAACTAAATCTTTACTTTTTTTTCCAGAATCCAAAGAATTTAGTGATACTTATAAAGGAAGAATGTTATCATAGCAAAGAAAAGAGCTAGTATTGTTAATAAAAGCATAATGAAAAGTTGGATGGTTAGAATAAAACTCGGCATTTAAGAATAGCTCAATTGAGGTCTGTAATCTTAAATCGTTAACTATACAGTTATTTCCAGTAAGACGTAAGGAGATAGAACTGTACAGACAGTTTCCAGTTGATTGAGACCTGAGATATACATAAAATATAATAATTAATGAACTTATATAAAAAATTTATAAGTATTTTCAACTAGCTTACAGTCAATATAACATTACAACTAACCAAAAAGTTATTAAAAAAATCATGGAATTTGAACAAATACCTTTACCTTAAAACAACATAACTGCCATTATGTTTTTCTTTAAAACTCTTTGGCAGATAGATTTCAAAATTTTTAAGAGTTTTTTCTTCTTCGAAAGAGTCGACAAGAATCGTATTATTACAAGAACTAATATTTTTTTGTAATATATCTTTCAAAGCGATCAATTTTGTTTCATCATTTTGTAGCATAATGTTTTTAACTTCTTGATTGAGTGACATTTTAAATTAATACTCGAACACACAAATAAATGCTTGAATTTTTAACATTAAACAACATTTTAAATATTAGGAATAAGGCATGTATTTCAGGGTGTATTAACGAAGGGACGTCCGGCAGTGTTTTTTTATAAAAGAAACCGAGTATTTAGAAATTAAATATTGAAAACTAAATTAAATATAAAGATAAATAATAAAATAAAATAATATTGGGGACGTCTATTGGTGTATCTTATTATTTATAGGATATTATCATTAGTTTTACCTCCTGATCGTCTTAAAACAAAAGATTTTGACAATATTTTAATAAGGGTGTACCAATTTGGAGACGTCCAAAAATAATTATCAGTAAAGATATTATTTATTTATTGTTTTAACAAATTAAATACAAATTTAAAATAAATTTTTATTTTATAATAAAATAAAATTGGGGACGTCCATTCGTTTATTTAATTAAATATTATTTATCAAGAATTGCTTAAACCTCCGGCAAAGACAGATATCTTTTTAACAAGAACTTTAAACAAGAACCGTTCGTATTTCTTGTTTCACAAGTGCCTATAAAATTAAATCTTATTTTAACCAAAAAAGTTATTTTTATAATTGAAACGTAAATTAATTTTTTTTTTATTTATTTAATATTTTTTTGGGTACATCTTAAGACGTACTAGACGTACCCTAGATCCGCCCCTGATATATATATATATATATATATATATATATATATATATATATTTATATATATATATATATATATATATATATATATATATATATATATATATATATATATATATATATATATATATATATATGTATATATATATATATATATATATATATATATATATATATATATATGTATATATATATATATATATATATATATATATATATATATATATATATATATATATATATATATATATTTATATAATTAATATATAACAGATTTTTCATTAAATATGATTTGTTATATAACATTTAATGAAAATTTTTTTTTAAATTCTACTTTAAACAAATAAACCAATTCACCAATTTGATGAAATATCACAGTTATTAAAAAAGATATATATAATGTTTATCTAACTGACTGCATCACAAGTTAAGTTGTCAAATTCACAACTTTATTAAATAAAGAACAAAAGATAATAAATAAAGAATTATACAGTTACGCAATCATACATGTCATAGTCGAAACTAAGACGTTGAAATAACGTTAAATCAATGTCAAATTAAGTTGATAATTTTAAATAAATTTTCAATGTCGATAAATGGTTTACATTTGTTTAACTGACATTGCAACTATAAGTCAACCGAATATCAACGTTGAAACAACGTTGAAGGTCTACTGGGAAGAGTAGCGTATTTCATGTAAAATAAAAGACTACAAAAAATTCTTTTAAGGGAGTATATATAAGAAATAAAAAGAACGTTAACATTATATATATACATTTTTTGTTAACATATAACTATATATCTGAGTTGTCATTAATGCCCCGACCACCACCATTTTGATCTATCGGGTGCATGTTTCAATATATTCATGATATTTTTTCTGACTTCAGCAACTGTAGCAGTTGCTTTACTTAACATGACGCACTCTATAAAAAAAGGTATTGCCTGAGTAATTTGCAACAACTACAGCAAGAACTTCAAAATAAAATAGCACCACAGCATCAAAATGTGTTTTTCAATAATAGTTAACATATTCATGACTTACCAACAACAACCTCACAAATGTTTGTGCCTTCAAATTTCTCTTTACCCTTGCCACCAGCCATGTTAAACTTTGATTGTAAACCATTAGTCATCAACCTACAATAAAACATTATTATTTTTATAGATACATTAAATATTGATACATAATAAGGTTAGCTAGCTCAATGGTACCATGTAATCTGCGGAATTCCCAATGGTTTTAAAATTCCTAAAATTCAATGACTTTTTGTTTGTTTGTATTATTAGGTCAACTTAAATAAAAATTCTCAAAAAATTTTGAATATATATACTATATATATCCTAAAATTTTTTGCACTCGCAACGCAGGCTTTCACAGGAAGACGTGCGATTTCAGGTCTTCATATGACCACGCATGTAATACTCTTGTTTTGCGACTTGTCCACGGCTTTTAAAATAGTAATTATTTTCACGCGTTTTAAAAATAGCGCTTAAAAAACAAAAGTAAACAAAATAAAAATGAAAGCAAAAACTATAAACAGTAAAAAGAAAGTAAATCATAATTTATGAGAAAATAAACAAAAGTAAAAAAGTTAGTTAAAAACTAAATTTATGTTTTTTAAAATTAAAAGAGTTTTAGTTGAAAGACTTATGTGAAGATCAATGTTTTGAAGTTATTTATTCGAAGCTTATTTGTAAACAAAATTTTTAACAATTTTATTGCATGTTGGGTTTATATCAAATTATGTTAGGGTTATAGCATATTTGGTGTAAAAGTTCTATGCCGTTTGATATAAACTATAAATTGAAATTTTTCTCTTTTTTTTTTACTGTTTTTGTTTTCATATTTTTAGGATGCCTGTTACTTTAATCAACGAAATTTGACACATTCAGGGAGCAAAAGTGACTTTATGTTTAAAAAGTTAAACGAAAATAAAATATTTACTACATGGAGTTATAAGAGTTATAGAGAATATATGTCATTATAAAGAATGAACGATTTTTTTATTCAGTTAAAAGCTGTAAAAATTTTGTTGAATATTTTGAATAATATTTTTAAAATATGAAAAAAATTTTGTTTTTTATAAAATGTGAGGTTTATCAAACCCTTAAAATATGGGTTTAAAAATGTTATACATGAATTACCTATTACTATTTAATAAACTGTTCCTAGGGCTGCGAAATATTTATACTCGGATCTGTGTCTAAGGCCGTTAAATAACTAGTGCTGAACGTGGATAGTATTTGAGGTCTTTTATTTGAAAAAGAATGGCCAATGTGCTGAAACATCTTTTACTAGCGCTGTTAGATGACGATAAACAGATGTACAACTCAGCTAATAGCAAAATTATTGGAAAATACTAATGTTTCATTACTTAACGTAATGCAATTGAAACATGCAGTTACTAAGTTAGTCGAAGGGAATAATAAGAGTAATTTCAACTACATTGAAATAATAAAACAGCATTAAGGAAACAGTTTCCTACATGCATACAATTTTGACAAATCTAATTAAAAGTAACGGAAAAGTTCTTTTATTTTATTTCTTTCGTAATACATAATTGCTCATTAACTTCTACTGCTTTTTATGTAATAAAAGGCGATCATTAAACGCAAAAGTCAGATTAGGGTTGAATGTGAAAGAGGAAAATGAGTACAAAACCAATAACAAAGTCACTGAAAACTGTTTCTGCGTGGAAATATGATTTCCTGAGTTACGAGGTTGAACGTATTCACAGTGTTAACACTGTAGTCAAGATATGGTGCAAAATATGCGCTAAGCATAAAAATAACATGCACATCCAACTGTCTGTATTTGGGTCAGCTAAAAAAAAATACTAAAGCTTTTATAAATGGAACTAATGTAGTTACACATCATCAGGTATAATGTATTTTTATTAACTATGGTACAGATTAAAAAATAATTTCTTTATTTAGAACGTTATGAACCTAATATAATGAGTACCTATGGTATAGGTAGTTATTATTTTAGGCAATACGGCATAATGTTGTAAAGTGTAATGATATTTATATCTACTCTAGGTTAAGAGACATATGGCAACAAGATCACATAAAGAAGCGATGCTATTGGATAACTCTACCTCTTCATAAAATACTCCTTTATCTTCAAATGCATCTTTAATAAGCAAGGATGTTTACGAAGCATATTTAAAGTTAATGCGAACTGCGTATGACTTAACTATGCATTCTGCAATGCGGCATAATAATTTTGAGGTGCTTGTTAAAGTTCAAAGAGTTAACAATGTAAAGTTATTGCAAGGCAAAAACAACAGGAATACAGGTATTTTATTTAATGCAGGTGCATTAATTGAATAAAACATGTATATAGTGGCGAAGGGGGAGGAGTGTTAAAAAGAAAATTATAGCAGGTTTAGGCGTGAAAAATAAGAATTTCAAAAAAAAAAAGAAATTTCCATAAATTTGAGGAAGGCATGCGCCCCATACAAATACATAATATACATAAGTGTTATTTGAATAGTAGTTACAAAATTTAATTTAAAAACTTGAATAAAGTTTTGAATCATTTGATTTCACTATACTTCAAATTCAAGTTATAACAATGTAGTAACTTTACTTGCTGGAACTTTATATCTATTATTAAAATTTTTATTGTAATGTTTAATAGCTGTTAAATTACTTATTTTTGCACGTTTACTCTTTTTTTACTTTTTAGCACGAGAGCTAATTAAATGCATTGCAACAACAATAACAGAAAAAATTGCGGCAATCGTTGTCAAAAAATCATTTATATCATTGCTTTCCGATGGAAGTCAAGTAAGAAAAACTGGGAGCGAAAAAGAAGCTATTTTAGTTAGAGTGGAGCATGCTGCTGGCCCCTGTTACTTTTTTGTATCACTACGCAATATGACTGACTTTGGAGGAAGTGACGCTAATTCATTAAAGTTAGCTTTAGACAGTGTCTTCATTACTAACAAGGTTACTCTAGCTAAAATTCCTTTTTCAACAGCTCAATACCGTACCAAGTTGATTTTAGCCACAGCTGATGGAGCAAGTGTTAACATGGGCATTTATAATGGGGCATTAACACAATTAAAAGCAACTCGCCCTTGGTTGGTTAACATACCTTGCGTAAATCACAGACTGGAACTGGCTATAAAAGATGCAATAAACTAATTCAAAGAATTTTCATCGTGTGACAATTTATACACAACCTTATTTTACCTCTTAAATAACTCCAGCAAACTAAAGGAGTCCTGCAAACATGCAGCTGCATCTCTATCAATCCAATATTACACACTGAATAAAATTACAGGAACTCGGTTTGCAGCACATCGACAATAAGGCTTCACTAAACTCCTTCATAACTGGCCATCTTATTTACTTGCTCTACCAAAGGCACTTACAAACAAACAAGGTTATCGAAACGAAACAAGGTCAAAATTGCAAGGGATTTTTAAAAAAATGACTAACTTCGCTTTTTTATGCAAAGTCGGAGCCTACGTAGATTTGCTTGATGCCATGACACCATTGTCGCTTTTTTGAAAAAAATGTTTTGTTAGCCCACGAAGTTCAACCCCAAATTGATTTGACAATCAATAATTTAACTGCTTTAACACTAGAGGTACTCGATGAAGCATTTTGTAGTTCGATTAGAAAGTTTCCAAGAAAAGAAGAAAATGGCATTGTCTTTGTCGAATCTTGTTACTTAATGGTTCCACACAAAAAAAGAAAAAGTAACAATAAAAAGTACCTTGACATCAAGCTAGATGGCATGATTGAACCTAAACACAACGACATCAAAAGAGCGTTCCAACTTAGAAAACAATGTATTGACATTTTAATACCGTTGATAAATAGTCGATTTAAGTCATTCAATGATAATCTGTTATTTGACTCCATGAAATGGCTGAACCCTCAATATTGGACCAACGAGCAAGATAGTTCAAACGGTATAAAATACCTTATGCAACATTTTCAGGAACCACTTGCAAATGTAAATTTCCAGGAAGATAAGGTTTTCCGGGAGTGGGATTCTGTACAAATATTGGTAAAAGCACGTTATTCAAAGTTAACTTGTCTAGAAGTTTGGCATAAGTTATGGGAGTTTGGAAAAGCTCATTTTCCAAACATTTTGCTGTTAGCTGAGCTGTGCTTCTGTTTATCGTCATCAAACAGCACAGTTGAAAGGTGTTTCAGCACACTGACAACGATTCTTTCCAATAACAGACTTCAAATGAGCCATAGTACTATAGAAGAGTGCATGTTAATTGTTGGAAATGATCATGTATGGTCGGATGAAGATCAAAATGATATACTAAAACAAGCCGTGAATCAATATTTAGAAAAGCGTAAAACGGTTAAATTTCAATCTGTAACAGAAATTTACATCTGTGAAAATCAAAAAAATAGCAATGAATCTTCTGTTGAAACAGTTGACAGTGATAACAGTGTATCAGATTGTGAACTACCTGGTTCAGAAGAGGAAGATATCGAAAATGACGATACGGCTAATGAAAATAGTGATTGTTTTAGTGAGTCTACTGAAATCTAAACATCAGATAATGAATCATCAGATAAATGAGAATGCAGCCTGAAATTTTTTTTTATAGCTATTTGTTAGACTTTTTATTAATTTATATTATAGACATGTTTGAAAATTTATAAATAGATTGTACAAATAGATAAAAAATAATGAGCTCCCTTGCCGTATTGAGAATAAAAGTATAAAACGTAAAACAATTTTAGTAAAATATTTTTGTGAACATACTTTAAAAATTGCTCTTTCTTTATATTTATATTGACGCGTATATTTCTCAAAAAGATTGCATATTGTAAATGTTTTATTTTTTTATCTGTTTTGTTTCCTTCACTTGTATCAAATTTCGTTGACGGAAATAACAAGCATCCTAAAAATGAGAAAACAAAAAACAATAAAAAAAAAAGAAGTAATAAATCTTGTATTTTAGAAAGTAGTTTATATCAAACAGAATTGAATTTTTAAACAAAACAGTGTGCTATAAACATTACTTTAGTCTTTTCATTCCTGCGATAATTTACTGCAATAAAGTTATTACAAACTTGATTTATAAATAAGTTTAGAAAAATAACTTTACGCAAGTATATCAAGCGAAACACTTTTGAATTTAAAAATTAAAAATTTAGTATATAGCTTATTTTTTACTTACTTTAAGTTAAGATTTATTTTCTTTTTTCAGTGTATGGTTTTTGCTTTCATTTTTATTTTGTTTCCTTTTGTTTTTTAAGCGCTAGTTTTAAAACGCGTAAAAATAATTACTATTTTCAAAGCCGTGGACAAGTCGCAAAACAAAAGTATTAAATGCGTGGTCATATAAAGACCTGAAATCGCACGTCTTCCTGTGAAAGCCTGCAACGGAGTGCTGCTACATCGACTGACAAATAGCCTGACTCGCAAGGCAGTGTTGTTAAATCGATTAAGGGTTTGATTTGGGCAGGCAGTCTATCATTTAAAATAAAAAATTTTTTTTGAAGTTTTTTAACATTTTCTGGTCAGGCAGTCTATCATTTAAAATAAAAAAATTTTTTTTGAAGTTTTTTAACATTTTCTGGTCAGGCTTGTTAATGCGCTCTTTAAAAAAACAGTTTATGGGAACAAAAAAAAAAAAAAAAAAAAAAAATATATATATATATATATATAGTCTTGCATGGTAGTCAGAAAGTTTTTCCAATAAACTGTTTTAAAGAGCGCGACCAAACCAAACCCTCAGTCGATGTAGCAGCACTCCCTTGCGAGTCAGGCTATTTATCAGTCCATGTAGCAGCACTCCCTTGCGAGTCAGGCTATTTGTCAGTCCATGTAGCAGCACTCCCTTGCGAGTCAGGTTATTTATAAGTCCATGTAGCAGCACTCCCTTGCGAGTCAGGCTATTTGTCAGTCCATGTAGCAGCACTCCCTTGCGAGTCAGGCTATTTGTCAGTCAATGTAGCAGCATCCCGTTGCGAGTCAGGCTATAAGATAGTCGATGTAGCAACACTCCCTTGTAGAAGCAGGCTATAAGATAGTCGATGTAGCAACACTTACGCATGTTTTAAAAATGTTTTTTAATAAAACAAAAACAAAAACACCACTAATTAAAAAAAACTTTTTAGTCATTATTATTGCGGTTTTTTTTAAAAACAATAAAATTTAATGTACTTCCGCATTAATTTAATTGCTTTGACATTTCGACGACAATAAAATGCAGCTTAAGAAATAAGGTAAAAAAATTGTAATCAAAAGAGACTTTTTTTACCATAAAAGTCTCTTTCGACTACACTCTAAGGATATATATATATATATATATATATATATATATATATATATATATATATATATATATATATATATATATATATATATATATATATATATATATATATATATGTATATATATATATATATATATATATATATATATATATATATATATATGTATATATATATATATATATATATATATATATATATATATATATATATATATATATATATATATATATATATATATATATATATATATATATATATATATATATACACAGAGATGTATTTACGGGGGGGCCAGGGGGACTTTGGCCCCCGGGCGCCATGTTTTGACAGGGCGCCAGCTTTCAGAATGTTAGAATTTTAAAAAATTGTAAAATAGTCTATTTATATCATTTCACGAAAATTTTTATATTATTATTATGTTCAAATCATAGACCTACTTATCGACTTACTAAATATCTCTAGTTGATTTTAGAAAAATTTAGTTAGCAGAAGAAAATATCAATCAAAAGGAGATCAAATTAAACTTGCAAATTATACATAATTATGCGCCAATTATTCATCTAAAAACGTTGATTTGATACTGAAAGTCACGTGTCTAAACAAATTATTTATTTATTATAAATATTTTAATGATACGGTATGTAGCGATAGCTTAACGGTTAAGCTCATCACTCTGACGCTGGCGCTCCGAGGTCTACTCCTACGAGTGTTCTTATTTAATATACTATCTAATCTTGATATAAATAAAATTTATATTTTTTTTGATGAATAAATGATTTATAATTTTTATTAATCAAATACTTGATCCTTATTTATTAATTAGTAAATAATATACTAGAAAAAAATAAATGGTGCGTTTTACCTAACATTTTCATTTTACTCTTAATTGACTTTATTAACAGAAATACTTAGGTATAGACACAGCTATTTACTTTTAAAAAATGAAATAATTCTTCAAAGATTCTCTTTACATTTTCTAAAAAAAAAAAACTCTTTAAAAATACTTTAAACTTTAAATAATCAGTTTGTTTTTTAATTTATTTTTATATAATTTGAAGTGATGAGCAGAATAAATTACGCATTAATTATATTAAATTAGCAATTTGACTTTGATCGCCTTTTTTGCGAGCCATCTTGTATATACCACGTGTGCACAATATAATTTTGAATTTTTAAGATTGCTGTCAGTTTTTTTTATTGTTGGCCTAAGTATTTTGTTCTTCGGTATGTTGTCTGCTTAATCCCTTGTATTACAGTATACAGTCTTGAAAAAGGTAAATATTCGTATTTCGATTATTGTTTTTAGTTTTAGTATTAACATTATTGTTATCATATATATATGATAACAATATATATATAAAACACACTTTTTAGGATTCTTATTTTAAAAAGCAATGATGATTCATTATAAAAAGCTTAGTGGCGCAGAAAACCGAAAACGAACCCATGCAAAAAATGAAGCTCAAGCAAAAATACTTTTAAAGACTGCTAAGTTAGAAACATATTTTAGCTTTACAGATAAACAGCTTCACACATCGCCGGGTAAGTTTATTTAGCTAGAAAACCATACGTTTTATTAATTTTGCTTTCTAGCAAATATATATACATATAGGTACATATTGTTCTGTTATTTATTGTTTATACTTCATATTGTTATGTTATTTATTATTAAATGTAAATAATTTATATCTAAAATGTAGATATGTGTAGTAATCGTTATTTATGCTTTCAGTTGAAAATGTAAATAATACATGCGATGAAAATGATCACAGCTTTATTGTTAATGAGAATAACCTATCAAATCCAGACGATTTAATATTAATATTATCAAGTAAGAGCTGTACTGAAACTAGTAAAACTCTATTGACTCCAGAGTCCAAAGAACTAAATGAAACACCCTGTTTGTCCATGCATGAACATAACAAGCCCGAATGTTTATTGTAAAATCTTTATTTAAAATTTGATATAATTTATAAATAATATCTTTTGGTACATGCATGTTATACAAAATTTATTATATTTTTCTCTATAGAAACCAAAATGATCACAGATTCACTGTTAATAAAGATAATCTAACAAATCCAGACAATCTTATATTACTAAATAACAGCAGCACAGAAACGAGTAAAACTCTATTGTCTACAGAATCGGAAGAAATAAATGATACACCACGTTTGCCAATGGTTGAACATAACAGTCTTCCTAAACAAAGTATTGTTCCTGAGTAAGCTTTTTTTAATTTTTTTCATGGTAGGTTACAATTATAAACATGTACAAAGGTAGACTATTTTTTTAAGTCGCTTGTCATGTAAAATTATGCTGGAAATTAAATTATTAACAAATATAGTACACTCTGTACATTTTAAACGATACCTATATCCTCTAGTTATATTATATTATGCATTTATCTCTATTACCTAATGCTTGAATGTTTTTTTTATACAATTTGTTATAAACTTTGAATAATATTTTTTGGTTTTTGTATATTAAACAAATATATTTTCCCTTTAGAAATGATCCTGCCAATTGGATAAAAAATCAAGAAACGATAGATTATTTATCAATCAATGGATTTAACCAAAATTTAGAGAACAATAATTTCCAAAAGTCAAAAAGAATTTACACTCAAATAATTGGTGGGGTAAGACGTACTCGTTTTCGATATATGTCAAAAAGTATATTTATATCTACTCTTGTTAATGGTGAAAAAATTAACCGAACATTTTTGATTTACTCAGAAAGTAAAGGATCAATATTTTGTGCTCCCTGCTATTTATTTGGTGGCACTACATTGTTTGCCACAGTTGGTTTTTCAGATTGGAAAAAAGGAGAAGAAAAAATCAAGCGTCATTAAAATTCACAACACCACAAATTGTGTGTAATGAATATGAAAGAAAGAAAAGAAGTATTAAATCGAGTTGATCAAAAGCTAAAGTATCAAGTAGAAACAGAAATAAATTATTGGAAAAATGTATTGAGAAGAGTTGTAGCTGTTGTGAAATCCCTTTCTTCTCGTGGAATGTCTTTTAGAGGTGATGATGACCGTTTTGGATCTGTTCATAATGGGAACTTTATGATGAGCTTAGAGCTTATTGCTCAGTTTGATCCTTTTTTAGCACAACACATTGAGAAGTTTGGAAATAAAGGAAATACCTATCATTTAATATATATGAGCAGTTCATAAGTATAATGGCAGATAATGTTATTCAACAAATGGTGAAAGAAATAAAGGAAGCTAAATACTTTTCCATCAGTATTGATTCTACTCCTGACATTAGCCATGTAGATCAACTGTCATTCATTTTTCGGTATGTTCAAAAGAATGGCTGTCCGGTAGAAAGATTTTTAGGGTTTTTACCTAATTCTGGTCATAAATCTGAAGAATTAGCAGATGCTGTATTTTTAGTTTTAGAATAGCATGGATTAGATATTAATAATTGTCGTGGTCAAAGTTACGACAATGCGTCTAATATGTCTGGTAGATACACAGGACTTCAAGCTCGCATTAAAAAAGTTAATCCTTTAGCAACATTTGTACCATGCTCGGCACACTCTGTAAATCTTGTTGGTGAGTGCGCTGTGGACTGTTGTATTTATGCTTCTGAATTTTTTATTCTGCTTCAAAATATTTATAAATTTTTCAGTGCCTCTACTTATAGATGGGAAATATTTCAGAAGAATTTGATTAAAACAGAAAATGTATCTCTTAAAAAACTATCAGATACCAGATGGTCAGCAAGATCTGATGCAAGTATTAGTTTAAACAAAAATTGGATTGAAATAATTAATGCGCTGTCTTTTATCAAAGATGATAAAACAGAAAAATCTATTACAAGATCAGAAGCTAACGGGCTATATTTAAAACTGGATAGTCTTGAAACAGCTATAATGGCCACATTATGGGGCGATATACTAGAGAGATTCAACAAAACTAGCAAACAATTGCAGTCAGTTGAGATTGATTTAGAAACAGTTGTAAGTTTATACGAATCTTTAATTCGATATGTATTAGATTTAAGGAGTATGTTTGATATCTATGAAGAGAGAGCAATAAATAAGTCAGGACACAAAACATATCGAAAAATACGCAAAAGAAAAAAAAAACTAACTGCAGATGAAAAAAGAGAAGAAGAAACAAATTTTGAAATTCGAGACTCTTTAAGAATTAATACATATTATGCTATAATTGATAAACTTCATTCTGAACTAGAAAGAAGAAAATTGTGCTATGATGAAGCCAATAAAAAATTTAACTTTTTATTTCAAATAATAAAACTTTCGCCATCAGAAGTTTACAAAAAAGCAGAGGTACTTCAAAATGTATATAAAATGATCTTTCGTCTTCATTTGCTAACGAGTGTATACAATTCAGAAGTTATTTAATGAGTTTAACTGAAAACTTAAGACGTAAAACTATAATAGATGTTTATAAAATGATCAGAACTGAAAAACTTCAAGAGCTGTTTCCTTATGTAGATATAGCATTAAGAATATATCTATGCTGCCCAACGTCCAATTGTTCAGCCGAGAGATCATTTTCAGCATTAAAGAGGGTTAAATCTTATTTGAGGTCGCGAATGACAAGTGATCGTCTTAATAGGTTAGCAATTCTATCTATAGAATCTGTACTTACCATAGATATGAACTTTAATGACATTATAAATACATTTGCAAAACAAAACTCACATAGAAAATTATAATTTTGTATATATGTATATATACAAAATGTATATATGTATATATACAATATATATATATATATATATATATATATATATATATATATATATATATATATATATATACAAAATGTATATATATATATATATATATATATATATATATATATATATATATATATATATATATATATATATATATATATATATATATATATATATCTAATGCTTTCTTGCGGGGACTTTTTTAGTAAAAAAAGTGTTGTTTGCGGGGACCGGTTGCTTACGGGGACATAAATCGGTTCCCGTTAATTTCAGGCTTGATTTAATAACTTCTGCGCGATTAAAATGTCTTTGAATTATCATTGTATATAAAGTAGACCATACTATTATTGATATTCGTCGTTTAAATGTTGTTTTTCATTAGTAATTGGCTTTGCTATTTCGGGTATGTATATTTAATAAAAAGCGAAATCCATTGGTTTGTGCACTTACCTGGACAAACTAGAAAATGATTTTTTGCATGTATCATGTATATATATCTTACTTTTTTTTTTGAAAACTCTTTTATCTTCTTAGAAAAATTAAATAAATATTAAAAAAAGTATTGAACTATAATCTAATCATGAGTTTTTTAAGAATATTTTTTTTCACACTTGAAAGTTTTTTTTTCAAGCGCGAACATGCGAACTTGATTTAAAAACGCATTTAAAAATGTAAACAAAGGAAACGATAATGTTTTTTTTACTTTGACATTGACTTTATTTTTATATTATTAGGATTGATTTATGTTGTTTTTGTATTTTGACTTTAAATATAACTACTTTACAGATAATACAACATGACTTGAATTTTTTTATTTTTGTAAGATGTTAAAATCCTTATGATATTATGGTATCTTAAACTTCAAGATTTTATAATATCACCAAGATGTTTTTATAAAAGATGTTTGTGATACATATCACACATTTATAATATATATAAAAAAATATTTATAATATATTATTTATAATATATTATTTATTAAATATAACTACTTTACAGATATTACAACATGACTTAAATTTTTTTATTTTTGTAAGATGTTAAAATCCTTATGATATTATGGTATCTTAAACTTCAAGATTTTATAATATCACCAAGATGTTTTTATAAAAGATGTTTATGATACATATCACACATTTATAATATATATAAAAAAATATTTATAATATATTATTTATAATATATTATTTAGTAATATATTATATATATATAAAATATTCATAATATATTTTATCCTACTTTAGTTATAAATACTTTACTGTCAGTAAAGATAATTTTTACTAACCTAAAAGTATTCATAATTAAAGTATGATATAAAATATTAAAAATATCTTTAACAAATAAAATATTTATAATATCTTTGTGATATTATATTATAGTATGATTTCTTTTTAATATCTTTTTGATATTATAATATAGTATGATTCCTTTTTTGTATCTTCTAACTGTAATGCTGTCCATAAGAGAGTTTTTAAGTGAAAAATATTTTTCTAGAGTGTAAAAATAATAAAATCTGCTTAAGTCTATTATTATTTGTATCAACTTAAGTTTTATTTTAGTTTATGTAAATATTAATCAACAAAAATGAATTTTATTTATAACCAATGATTTTTTATTATTCCATTTTGTAACATAAATGATGTTGAAAGCAGAAGTTTGTGCAAGTTTTAGATAAATTGATGATTAATATATACATAGAAATCTTCGTTTAAAACCCAATGTCAAAATATATATTTGATTTTGTTTTGTATATATTTAAATTTAACAAATAAAGTTATTTAGCATAATCTTTAATTTAACTTTAAAAAATCTAGCTAGCATTATAAAAAAAATCAGTTTTTCAAGTTTGCTATTTTTTATCGATAAAATAACGTTATGGTCAGAAGAATAGACAATCGAAAAACGTGTTATTTTGTTAATTAAACTATTGATTGTAACGATTATTTTACTGATTATTCAGGGTTTTTTAGTTTGCAAATGATGTTAATGTCTGCATAAAATCAGTTTAGTTTTTTATTATATATCTATAAAGACCGATAGAATTGCAAGCCCTTTTAATATATTTGTTACAAGAAAATTGTAAACTTACAAGGGTATACAATAGTATTTACTTAAATGATAAATAACATAAACTATAGAAAGTATAAATAGAATTTAATAAAAAATTAAAAGGTTTTATTTATTTTCAACTACTTTAATTAGCAATTAGTTTCCAAATTTTTATTTAAAATTGTGATGTTAATACATTTTCAAATGCTGGTATACTTTTATTAATTTTGTTTTATATGATTTTATATATGTTAGTGATATTATGTTTAAGAGTTTTTAATTTTGTTATTTGTTAAGCATTTATTTTACTCTACTTTCAAAATACTTTGAGTCTAAGTAAAATTTTAAAATTAGGTTTTTTAATTAAGCCATGTAAGTCATTTTTCAATCTGTATTGTGTTTTCTTATTTTAAAATGTTTATTTGTTATTTTAGAATACTGTAGAAATAAAATTAGAATAAAATAAAAACTAGAAGAGACTGATCACATCTTAATCATATTGTTCTTCTAACATTGCTTCACTGGATATATTTTATTTATAAAGTTAGCAAATTTTGAAATTATATTTTTAAAGCTTATGCAATTTGAAAGAAACTACTTTTAATGAAACTTAAAGCAAGTAGCATGCAAGCTATTAATTGAGTTGTTAATGATATATTCTCTGTATAGTACTGCCTGTTCATGAAGTGAATAATAGTAAAAGCGAATGGGAATATCAGCTGTTAAATCGTCCATTGAAATTATTAGCTTCGCAGTGACGAAAAAGATAATTCTTTTATAAAAAAAGATGGATTATTGATAGTTGTCTTATTTAAGAACTGCTAAGGTGCATGGAGGGACAGCTAGGATGCATTTGATCCATTCAAAAGTATCCCAAAACACAAATTTAAAATTAAAAAAAAAAAATTACTGAATAAATAAAGTTTTCAGAATGATTTAAAATTAGTTCCAGTTATTAAAGCAGTTTTAAAGATTAAAAATCTACAATTTTTTAAGCATAAATTAATACATTTTAAAACTTCACGACTAGATTTGTTTAATAAAATCTTCGCGGATTCACTCAGAACAGAAATAGGAATTT